AAACACTGAGAAACAATAAAAAAATACAAAAAAACTCAAAGAACAATATGTAACAATTATTAATTATTACATTTGTGTAACTATTTTTAGAGTATTAAATTAGAAATTTATAAAAACTTTTGATTTTCCAATTTTTTTTTTTTTTATAATTTCGTTTTTTGATATTTTTGTTTTGAACTTTATACAAATTAATACGTTTTTTACTTTATTTTTTATTTTAAAATTTTTATATTTATATTTTTTACTCATAAAAAATTTATAAGTATTTTATAAAATTTTTATATTTTATATTTTTTACTTATACAAAATTTATAATTATTTTATATTTTTTTATTTTACTTATACAAAATTTAATTTCATGTTTTCAATTTTTTTCAAAATATTACAAATTTATTTGAATTTTTAAATGCTATCAAAAATTATGTTAATTTTTAATGTTTTTGATGATTATATTGTATATCTATCAATTTAAAAAAATATACTCTTCCATACAGATTTATTACTACTTTTCATATTTTGAAATGGTTCCAAAATATTTTTATCTGATTTTCCATATTTGTTTATAATTTGTTCTCAATTTATAAGTTTTAAGTTTTTTTTGTACTTTTTCCTTTTTATTTTACTTTAGTTTATGTATTTCAAGAACATTTTATTTATCATTTGAGACTTTTATAATTTTTATACATTTATTGTATTTTATAAGTGTTAAGTGTTCAACCACCCAAATTTATTAAGTTTCTATGAATTTTTGCATCATTTTTTCATTTTTTCACTTAGTTTTCTAAAACTATGAAATTTTAAGTGTAGTTATAGAACATAACGTTGACATACTAAGGGATTTTCAATCTTCCTGTGCAATCCGTTACTATTTTTGAATGATGCAATCCGTTAGCTCGTTACTTAACAAGTAGCCGTGTTGGTTATGGTCTATTATTGAAAAGAAAATCATTCCTAATCTATTTTTGAAAGAAAGTTGACGAAGGGAAAAAGAGTGATATTTTTTTACTTTTTGGTCCGTTTCTGAAAAATTCCCTATAAAAAATTAAAACTAGATTAAAAATATGGGGCTGACCCATATAACACAAAAAAAAACTTACGGAAGAAATCTAAAAGAGGAGAGCCCGAGTTTATCAACCAGAAGTGCTTTTCGGACAAAGCCTGGAAGATTAGTCGTTGAATTGAAAGAAATCATCTGGGAAGCATCAAGACAACACCTAGAAAGATAGTGAGCAGGCCAGTTAGCTTCCCTAAACACATGCTTGTAAGAAATGCCAAACTCCATCACCCAATTCCTCAGGTCGCTCGTCATTATACTCCAGCATTCCACAATCTTCCGATCATCAATGGCATCAATCGCACTCTGAGAATCAGATTCAGCTTCAAAGTCTTTAAATCCACGGGAGAGAGACCAGTTGACTGAGAAATGAAGAGCCGAAATCTCCGCTTCTGTACAAGATCTGGCCGATAGAGGAAAGGAGATAGCAGCAAGAAGTTCACCAGACTTTGATCTCATAACCGCCCCCCTGAAGATCTATCTGTTCAAAAAGAGGCCTAAAACACCATGGAATTGCCTCATTTGGCATATAAGGTCTTGCCTCAGCTGGACAATCCCAAACATGGAAATGATTTATACTAGGTTTCTTTCTAGTCCAAATTTCATAAGAGGTTTTAGTTGTAGCTTTAGTTGGAACTCTGTTGAGTATGCAAGCTGCAGTTTTCAGTGCATCTCCCCAAAGTGAATATGGTAAGGTAGTATGACAAATCATACTCCTAATCATGTCCTTCAATGTATGGTTTCGTCTCTCAGCAACATCATTCATGCTAGGAGTTTGTGGCATGGTGTACTGAGGAACAATTCCAAACTCCTCTAGTAATTTAGCAAATGGCCCTAGACGTTGTTCACCGGAACCATCATATCTACCATAGCATTCACCACCATGGTCAGATCTAACAATTTTTATTCTTTTGCCTAATTGATTTTCAACTTCGGCCTTATAATATTTGAACACGTCTATTGATTGGGACTTTTCATGAATGAGATAAAGGTAACCATAGCGAGAGTAATCATCTATGAAAGTGATAAAATATGTTTGACTATTTCTACATGGTGTAGGGATTGATCCACACATGTCTGTATATATCCATTCTAATAGATCTAACGCTCTCTCGGCACCTAATCTCCGTTTGTTCGTTTGTTTTCCCTTAACGCACTCAACACAAATATCAGAATTTGAGGAGTAAAGAGAATCAAGAATTCCATCTGACACAAATCTGTGAATTCTTTGCTCAGAAATATGACCTAAACGCTTGTACCAAAGTGATAATGAATTCTCATTGGTTAATTTTCTTTTAGTACCACAAGTACGTGCATGCAAGGTTTCATTATATGAGGTAATTATATCAAGTGAATATAGATGATCATAAACTGATAAAAGGCTGGTGCCAATAAGTTTGGAATCTTGAAATAGACTAAACTGACTATTTCCAAATGAACGAGAATAACCAAATTTTTCCAATGCAGAAATAGAAATTAAATGTCACCTAAATGACGGCACAACAAATTTCTCTTTCAAATCCAAATAAAAACCAGTTTTTAATAATAATCTAAAAACACCGATAGTCTCAACTTGAACTCGCTTGCCATCACCGACATAGATGTATCTTTCACCATCAAATGGTTTTCGGCAGCTCAGGCAACCCTGCATAGATACACTTATGTGAGTAGTAGCACCGGAATCTACCCACCAAGTATCTTTTGGTACCGAAATTAAATTAACCTCAGAACAAACCAGAGTAAGCTAGAGACATACCCTTTTTCGCACGCCAAGCATGGTACTTAGTGCAGTTCTTTTTCTTACGATTAGTCCCTTTGCAAAAAAAGCATCCAGATTCCTTAGTTTCTTCCTTAGTTTCCTTATGATGCTTTCTTTGAGGCCCTGGATTTACAGCTTCCATAATTTTCCTTTTATTGCTGCCCTTAGAGGTAGATGTCAAATGAACGCTTTCAGTCTTATCTTGCTTTATTCTCTCTTCCTCTTGAACACAATGAGAGGAAGAGAATATCAGTCGTATCAAAGTTACCAATTGAATCACTATCAAGAATCATTATTATCTAGTTGCTTCACATCAACTACGTAAAAAGATTGAAGTGGGATTTCAATTGAATAATTTGATCAAGATACTCGCTCAAAATTCAAATTGATTACAAATTGTAATTACGAGCATCTCATTGTGATCAATAGGAAGTATGAAAAATAACCAAATACGGAGTATATACAAAGTAGACAATAGCGCAAGCTACTGCGACTAAAAAATCATGAAAACCCAATTAAATATAATGGTTTTGATGAGTCTATCGGCGCCGATTCATCATCAGAATACATAGGAACGAATTATCCTAATTTCGGACTCCATTGATCGGCAAATTTCACAACAGAAGAAACACTAGAAATTCAATCGTTTTGCTTAAAGATTAACAATCGATCCAATATGTGATTATATCAGGAACGAACTGCATAAACGCAAAAACGCATTACCCTTATTTCATTGAATCGGTAGGTTAAACTGACTCCAAATAATTCAATATGAAGGAGGCTCTGATACCAATTGTTGGAATACATCCATGAATACTTTAATCTTCGTATTGGAATTATCTAGACAAATAACTGAGCGGAAGCATACCTGACTCTGTTGGAGATGATGACCTTTAGATATCCGGGAGACGGAGGCTAGGGTTTGCGTCTTCTAGTCGATACACACCCTCGAGAATTATCTCCTTAGTGATGGGATGCAGAAAGACGGAATGACGTGTTCAACTAGGGACCATAACCCCTCTATTTATAGAGAATGCTCAACCCTAATCAGCCATCATAAATTAGGTTAAGGTCATGGGACTCTAAAAATTTGGGCCTTATACCTTATTAGATACTACCTCCGTCCCGCTATGATTGTCCCATTTTACCTTATCGGTTCATCCCACTAAGATTGTCTCATACCCAATTTGGTAAAGTTTATGTGGCTCGAAATCGGTCTTACTTTATTCTTACTTTATCAATTCAATATCAACCACATAAACCACTTTTTATTAATTTGTGTGTCACTCCCTCTTGTCCCATTGTTAGCGGGATGGAGGGAGTAACATATTAGCCCACTTAAATTAATATCCATAGGACCACTAATTTTTGGGCCTAAATATAAGATAGCATATAACGTACAATTAAAGCCGATAAATAATATACTGTGAATATTACATGTAGTATGAGTGCAATAATCTAACAATAAAATGGAATAATGCATACTCCCTCAGGTCCCTATTAAAGTTCCCTATTTGACTTCACACAGATTAAGAAAAAAAAAATTACTTTACTGTGGAGTGCATTGTTTGGACACTGTTTGACACTGTTTGGCACTGTTTTGTACTGTTTTGTTTTCTACAATGGAAGTGTGAACTTAAATAAGGGACATCCCAAAAAAGAAAGTGAGAACTTTAATAGGGACCGGAGGGAGTATATTACAGCGATGACAAACAATTCAAAAAAATCAGCAATTTAAAACAAATTTGATCATATCTACCATAGCCACCACCATGGTCAGATCTAACAATTTTTATTCTTTTGCCTAATTGATTTTCAACTTCGGCCTTATAATATTTGAACACGTCTATTGATTGAGACTTTTCATGAATGAGATAAAGGTAACCATAACAAGAGTAATCATCTATGAAAGTGATAAAATATGTTTGACTATTTCTACATGGTGTAGGGAATGATCCACAAATGTCTGTATATATCCATTCTAATAGATCTGAAGCTCTCTCGGAACCTAATCTTTGTTTGTTGCTTTGTTTTCCCTTAACGCACTCAAGAATTTGAGGAGTAACGAGAATCAAGAATTCCATCTGACACAAATCTGTGAATTCTTTGCTCAGAAATATGACCTAAACGCTTGTACCAAAGTGATAATGAATTCTCATTGGTTAATTTTCTTTTGTACCATGAGTACTCGCATGCAAGGTTTCATTATATGAGGTAATTATATCAAGTGAATATAGATGATCATAAACTGATAAAAGACCGGTACCAATAAGTTTTGAATCTTGAAATAGACTAAACTGACTATTTCCAAATGAACAAGAATAACCAAATTTGTCCAATGCAGAAATAGAAATTAAATGTCGCCTAAATGACGGCACAACAAATGTATCTTTCAAATCCAAATAAAATCCAGTCTTCAATAATAATCTAAAAACACCGATAGTCTCAACTTGAACCCGCTTGCCATCTCCGACATAGATGTATCTTTCACCATCAATTGGTTTTCGGCAGCTCAGGCAACCCTGCATAGATACACTTATGTGAGTAGTAGCACCGGAATCTACCCACCAAGTGTCTTTTGGTACCGAAATTAAATTAACCTCAGAACAAACCAGAGCAAGAGACATACCTTTTTTCGCACGCCAAGCGTGGTACTTAGTGCAGTTCTTTTTCTTACGATTAGTCCCTTTGAAAAAGAAGCATCCAGATTCCTTAGTTTCTTCCTTAGTTTCCTTATGATGCTTTCTTTGAGGCCCTGGATTTACAGCTTCCATAATTTTCCTTTTCTTGCTGCCCTTAGGAGTAGATGTCAAATGAGCGCTTTGAGTCTTATCTTGCTTTATTCTCTCTTCCTCTTGAACACAATGAGAAATGAGCTCATTGAGAGACCATTTCTCCTTAATGCAGTTGTAACTGACTTTAAATTGATTAAATTGAAAAGGAAGAGAGATCAAAACTAAATACACAAGTAATTCCTCAGGTAAAATGAGCTTTAGTGCACTTATTTTTGAAGCAATGTGAGACATTTCCAAAATGTACTCCCTTATGTTCCCTTTGCCTTTATACTTCATGGAAACAAGAATGCTCTAAAGAGTGCTAGTTTCTGCCTTTTCGTTTTTAGCAAAACGCTTTTCAAGTTCGGCAAGGAACGATTTGGCATCAGCCCCATCGTACATCGTGCCCCTGAATGATTCTGGAATTGCACGTTTCATGATCATTAGACTCATGCGGTTTGAGCATTCCCACCTCTCCATCTCCTTCTTTTCATCAAGGGTAGATGTGTCCTTAAGAGCGACGGGTTTCTCAGTCCGAAGTGCAAGGTCTAGATCCATGCAACCGAGAACAATCATAACGCTCTCTTTCCATTCCTTAAAATTCATGCCGTTAAGCACCGGGATGCTATTAATATTAGCAGATATTGTAGCAGCTGAATTGTTGACTGAAAGAGAACAACAAATAATATAAATTATATGCTCTAGACACATAAATCAACTTGATAATTAATTTAAAATATTAGCAATCCCCAACACAAGATACCTATCGCAACATCTAGTCTTGTCTTTGGACATAAATTAGGCTTGCAAGTGGTACTTTTGATGTAATAATAAAATTTTGATAATAAAATCATGTCAAATATTAAGCCTTTCTTTGGACCGACTTAATAATCACATGAAAACCTCATAATTATCACAAATGTACTTAAATTTCAGCCAAATAACAACCTTCCTTTGGGCCAATTATTATCCGCATGAAATAAGAAAGTACACAATCATCTTAATACATGAGTTAATTAATTTCAACAAGAAAGGCTACTTTGGCAGCATGAGCATGTTTATTGCAGAAGTGATAAACATTATATCCACCGGGAAAAAAAAAATCCAAAAAACGAATCTCCGTATATATATAAAAAAATTATATCCACCGGGAAAACATTATTCCGCCACTAAATTCCGTGATTTCTTGTAGAGTATGTTTATAAAAAAATAGATAATCCTCTGATTGCTTGTTAGATTTGTTCTGTTTCTAACCCACAAACCCAAAAAAGAAAGTGAATCAAAAAAACAAATTTGATAACCGTATCAGAGTTACCAATTGAATCACTATCAAGAATCATTATTATCTAGTTGTTTCAGATCAACTACATAAAAAGATTGAAGTGGGATTTCAATTGAATAATTTGATCAAGATACTCACTCAAAATTCAAATTGATTACAAATTGTAATTACGAGCATCTCATTGTGATCAATAGGAAGTATGAAAAATAATCAAATACGGAGTATATACGAAGTAGACAATAGCGCAAGCTACTGTGACTAAAAAATCATGAAAACCCAATTAAATATAATGGTTTTGATGAGTCTATCGGCGCCGATTCATCATCAGAATACATAGGAACGAATTATCCTAATTTCTGACTCCATTGATCGGCAAATTTCACAACAAAAGAAACACTAGAAATTCAATCGTTTTGCTTAAAGATTAACAATCGATCCAATAAGTGAATATATCAGGAACGAACTGCATAAACGCAAACACGCATTACCCTTATTTCATTGAATCGGTAGGTTAAACTGACTCTGTTGAAGATAACCTTTAGATATCCGGGAGACGGAGGCTAGGGTTTGCCTCTTCTAGTCGATACACACCCTCGGGAATTATCTCCCTAGCAATGGGATGCAGAAAGACGGAATGATGTGTTCAACTAGGGACCATAACCCCTCTATTTATAGAGAATGCTCAACCCTAATCAGTCATCATAAATTAGGTTAAACTCATGGGTCTCTAAAAATTTGGGCCATATACCTTATTAGATACTATCTCCGTCCCGCTATGATTGTCTCATTTTACCTTATCGGTTCGTCCCAGTAAGATTGTCCCATATCCAATTTGGTAAAGTTTATGTGGCTCTAAATCATTCTTACTTTATTCTTACTTTATCAATTCAATATCAACCACATAAACCACTTTTTATTAATGTGTGTGTCACTCCCTCTTGTCCCATTGTTAGCGGGACGGAGGGAGTAACATATTAGCTCACTTAAATTAATATCCATAGGACTACTAATTTTTAGGCCTAAATATAAGATATCATATAACGTACAATTAAAGCCGATAAATAATATACTGTGAATATTACATGTAGTATGAGTGCAATAATCTAACAATAAAAATGGAATAATGCATACTCCCTCCGGTCCCTATTAAAGTTCCCAATTTGACTTCACACAGATTAAGAAAATAAATTTGACTTTACTTTGGAGTGCACTGTTTGGCACTGTTTGACACTGTTTTGCACTGTATTGTTTCCTACAATGGAAGTGTGAACTTAAATAAGGGACATCCCAAAAAAGAAAGTGAGAACTTTAATAGGGACCGGAGGGAGTATATTACAGCGATGACAAACAATTCAAAAAAATCAGCAATTTAAAACAAATTTGATCATATATTTGTAGGGACTGAAAACGTACCTAAACCTTATGCATATAGACATAGAAATTGAGAAATTGTGTGTAGGTAAATTCAATTCACCCCGGTTGGTAAACAACTAGCTAGCTAACAGTAAGTTCTTGCTAGCTAGAATTGAAGAAGCTAATACATCGTAGTATTTCAAAGTGAAATGGCAAAAAAATAACATACTATTGCGAGAGGCTTGAAAACGATATAAGTAGCTTAGGTTTCAATGACGTACGATTTAACCAATAATTAATAAGCGGGAGGTAGGGTGCTTAGAAGAATTCGTCAATATACTTGTAGATGACCTTATTTACAAGGGTTCTGTAACCTTTTTCTGTGGGGTGATAACTATCCCAAAACAAATACTTCTCGCGATCTTCACATGTGGGTAACAATTTGTTACATAAAACCGCAACCTCTACGTTTCCCGTTCCACAGCATCCTTTATCAGCCACTTCAAATCCTACGCATCACATACATACTTCAAATTAATTCATTGCTCATTACACTCGATCATTATGTATACGCAAACATACCATATCCATCTTTCATGCTCTTCTGTTGTTCATGTTTTACTCCTATTTTAACGAAAAATATGAACTAAGAAGTCTGATTTTGATTAATATTTTCTTCAATCCTACCTACGTATAATCAGGGGCGGAGCCAGACCACTCGGTCGGACTGGACCAATATAAAAACTACTCCCTCGGTTTCAAGTTCTTTGACACACTTCCCTTTTTGGGTTGTTTCAAAAAGATTGACACACTTCCTTATTTCCTTATTTAGTAAACAAATCTTTACTAAAACAGTACAAAACAGTGTTCAAACAGTGTCAAACAGTGTACTCTACAGTAAGTTTTACCCTTCAATAACATTTTTTCCTTAATTCTTGATAAGTCAAACTGTGTCAAAGATTGTGAAACGGAGGGAGTATTTTTGAAAAAACATTCACAAAGAGTTTTTCCAACAAATTAAGACATTTTTTTAAATTTGAGGTGGGCCATTGCTTAGGCTAGCCCCACTCTAGCTCCACCCCTGGCTATAATCATGATTGGTAATATTTTTCTTAAAATGTTTTTAATTGATCTGTAATTTTTCAGTGTGTTCTTATCTGGCCTGATTTAATATGATATAGCCCGTTTAAGTCTGGTCTAATTTGAATTGATATGATCTGTAGTGTAAAAACCCGAACCATATTGTTGAGGGTTGAGCATGATGTGAAGGAGGGGTTCGTAGATGTCAATAAAAACGAGCTTGGATTTGGATAAGGTGGTGGACAAGGACTGAAGCGTAGCTGAGAACTTGGAATTGGCCAATTTGGCAGCGTCATTGTAATTCTCTGCGCAGCCCCGACTCTTCCCTCCTCCCAGTGTCCTCTGCGATGGCAAACATCCTATTGGTGGCACGCTGAATACTCCTATCCTTCTTGCTCCCAGTGCGTACAATTCCTACATCAATCACACATAAATTTCTTTATTACAATTATCATCCTTATTAGTATAGTTAAGATGGTCGAGTAGCGTGAGAAATTATATATAGCATGCACTAATTTTATTGTGTGATGTTAATTTTGTGTGCGACAAATACTTCAATGCGCCGATCGGGCAACATCGAGGCGTAAATAGGCCAAAACATTTACCAAATTACCACCAGAATTGCTTCTGGTATGTACTCCACATTATTATTTGAAAAAGAAATTTTTGCATATAGAACTAAAACAATAGAGAATGTGCATATAAGGGTATGCATGTTTTTTGTTCTTCATAGGAGGAAGTTCATATTTGGAGTATTATGAAATAGCTACTCATTTTGGGTAACTTTTACTTCTGTATAGTTTAAATCAAAAGTAATTGTCCCTTCTAAACTAAAAGATAATTTATACATGAATGGTGCACTACTAGGTACATACTCCCTCCGTTTCACAATCAAAGTCATAGTTTGACTTTTGTGGTCTCTAAGGTGGATTTTGAACGTAATTTCCTATTAATATATACATATAAAATCTACAATAAATTGACATTTGAGTAATACTAGTACATATTACAATGAAGCATATTATATAATTTTTTTGGGATAAAATATTATTAATTTTGAGTAATATGCGATCAAAGTTTAATAGTTTGACTCAAAAAGTTTGACTGTGGCTTTAATTATGAAACGGAGGGAGTACAATTCTAGTCTCAAAAAAATACAATTTTACAAATTTTATTATAGAAATTGTTTTCTAATATTACATATAACTTTCAATACAGTTTCTACGAATGTTATTAAATAGACCGTAATTTTCTATTCTGATATGGTATGTTCAGGGGCGGACTCAAGAAAGTCATCTTGGGGGTGAAAATATTTTTGGGGGGGTTCAAAATATTTTTTCAGAGGGAGAAAATTATTTTTCATATATATATACACAAAAAAAAATCTTGTTGGAGGGGTGGTAACCCCCCTGGGTCTGTACTACGGTCTGCCCCTGGGTATGTTCTAATCTTGGCTGAGCCGTTCTCTAATATGGTCTAAAATGGTATAGTCTAATTTGATAGATGTATGTTACATGTGTATTTTACAACTATCGAAGTTTGATATAGTCTTATCAGAACTGTCATGGTATGATCTATTATGGTCTTGCCTTGTTCGATCTGCGACTAAAACCAATCCAATTAAAACATTCTAATTAAGTATGCAAATATTATTTGTATGAGGTAAATATTAGCAAAGAATAATAAAATAAAGTCTATTTTTTGTTAAAGTCTTTTGAGAGAATCCCCTAAATATATGTGGATCCATTTTTCAAGGTAATAAGTAACAAAACATATCCGAATTACACATAATATAATAGGATGTCCAAATAGTTTCTTTTGAGCAATTTATTTTTAATTAAATGCATATATATATACGTACTTGAATGAAGTTGGAAGCACCCTGTATGATAAGATCAGTGTAAGCATCAACGTCGTAATGCAATCGGCGGATTCCGACGGTGAAGTAGGTGTTGGCAAGGTCGTCGCTGCCGGCGACCACCAAGAATAAGCTGTTGTCTAATATGAACTTTGTTTGCTCTTCACCAAACGCGGCCTTCAGCTTCCCCAAATACTCTTTGAAGTACTCTATTTGTTGCGACAGCGGGAACACCGACTGAATTTATTACGTATGTACGTACGTCTTAGTCAATACAGATATACGTCGTGTATTATAAGTTTATTTATAACATTATTACATCAACTACATAATCAATCAGATCATAAATTTGATTTAAATATTTTGAGTTTGAAATAAATTTGACCGACTGAATTTATTAGAAATGTTGTTTGTAGACAGCAAATTGTACACAGTATTTTGCACGCCGACCAAATTGCATATGCACAGATAATTATTTTTCGTTTTTTAAAAAGAATCACTTTTCGCACCAACAATTTCTTTTGTTTGTGACATGGATAATTTTTTCCCCGATGTAAAATGTCGTCTACAACTAGAGTGTGCACGAAACATGTTGGCTTTTAATCCCGTTTTTCAGCATATCCTTTATCAGTCAATTTTTATATGAAAAAAATGTTCGCTGAATTTTGTACTCCTGTCCTTGAATAATCTTTCAAAACGGTTTTTGTAAGTGGATTAATAATGATAATTGTATCAGACATAGTTGTGCAGAGGAGTAGAGAAAAATGTGTAATGATAAGTAACAAATATTGTGAAGCACAAATTCTTTATCAAAAAGAGAAAGAGAAAATTATTTTGAAGCTTGCGGAAAAGGGAAGTTGGAAGACAATTCAGGGATAGAGGAAATGATAATTAAGATAAATTTAGAATTGCTGTTCTAGTTGAATTGATTGAAGTTATTGTAGGGGGTCATTTTAGCTATTTTCATATAATTTATTATGTACGGAGTATTTTATTAATAAAATACTATTCCCTCCGGTCCTAAATAAAGTTCAGTGTTTGACTTCACACAAATTAAGGAAATCAATTTGACTTTACTGTAGAGTACACTGTTGTGACACTTTTTGACACTGTTTTGCATTGTTTTGATGTAGAAAATTTGCCAAAGAAGGAAGGTAAGGAAGGGAGAAGAAGTGCGAACTTTATTTTGAACCGACCCAAAAAGGAAAGTATGAACTTTATTTAGGACCGGAGGGATTATGTATATTTTAATTTTTTTATAATTTAGTAGATTCAGCCGTTTAGCAATTTCAACTAGAATTTCATCAATTTCTTAAATTTAACTGATTTAACAAATTTCAATGTTATCAAACAAAATTAATTACCACAATTTGGGGCGTTTGGGGGTCATATCCACTGGCTCCGGATGCAAAGCTGACTCCCGTTTTCAGATCCTCGGGGGTTAAACTCGCGTCCAAATAAGCTGGCACATAATCTTTGATTCCCAATAGCTCAGCTGACATTTTAAGACAACACATTCCACAAATATAAATGTTAAATACCGTAGTAGTTCATTTCACATGGGTAAATAAGTTGTATAGAAAAGTCCCCAAGAAAATTACACAGAGAATTAAAACAGTTAAACACGGGGAACTTTTTTTAGTTATTTGTATTTTTAAAAGTGGGACTTATTCACTCATAAAGTAAGAGTTATTAACTAATTTAACTATTTTATTAAGACCAGAAGAATAACATTTTAAAAGAAAAAACAAGCACGCGGTAATACATCTTCATTTAGGGTTTTCCTAAAATATGACTAAATTTAAGTTTACTTCCAAAAATGCGATTTTCACATAGAGACAAAAAAGTGAGCATACCAGATTTTGATGTCACTATCACATTTTATGTTAATGTTAGTACTCCCTCCGTTCCTATTAAAACTTCCAAATAGTTTTGGCAAACAATTTAAGATGATGAATTTTGTGTGGTGGAGAATTGTGCAGAGGAGAGAAATGTGTAAGAAATAATGTGAACCACAAATTCTTTACTGAAAAGGGAAAATAGAAGTTTTAATTGAAACGGACGAAAAAAGAAAATTGAAAGTTTATTTAGGAACTGAGGGAGTATTAGATATTTATGTCACTAACGTATGGCATTACAGTCATGTAACGTGTCACTTTAATCATCGGAAAATGTAAACAAACATTTCTAAATTAAAAGAAATGTTTAATAGCAGTGATGGATAGTTGGATAGGAATTAGAATTAAAAGAAAATTAAAATATGCTTCATATTAATTAAATAAAGATTAGTCACATTTTAAAAAAAATTAAAGCTAGTTATATTTTCTCTTTAAAAAGTGGGGGGATGATTTTTGTTCCTTTATTTATGCGTGACTCATGGATAATGTATCATTTTCACTTTGGATTAAAAAACAAACGTGTGCTCAAATAAAAATGTATGTTCTTAAAATATTATTTATTCTCTATAAAAAGTTATCATTACTTGTTTTTTATTAATGATACGTGAATCTTTTTGTCAAAAAAATTATAAGTGAGTCTTATTTATTGATGAATACGGCATGTGACATATTTATGGTTACACAAGTAGGAACGTCTCATTCATAAAAGTCCAGTGGTTTTTTTTTTGCTGTAAATTAAAGTCTAGTGGTTGTTGGCCGGTGGTTTTAATTTATATTGACTTTTTTAATGTAAAACCCATACGGAGTATTATTTTTTAAAATAACAATAAGGCTCATTTATGTCCGCAAAATATAGGTTGGAATTTTAGATTATACCCATTAAATCAAAATTATAATTGTAATTCGTTTCTATAATTATCTTTAACATTTGCTTATTCCGTACTACATCATACCCATTCAATCGCAAAAATATACTACGTATTTTGTTCTTCTCATTTTTACACAGTATCATACGCAATTGAGTAATTAATTGTTAAAATGATCGTTTTGTATTGAAAAATGATCATTAAACAATTGATATATGTTCATTTTATAATTTGGATGTACTGTGTATATATATGGTACATTTCAATCAAAATATTGAGTGTTTCCACAATTAGTGCTGTTTTATTTACATTTTGAAACTTAGAAGCTTTTATTATTTTGTTTCTCAATACATCATTCACTTTTATTCGGTGCATGTTTTGAGGACATACGTCTCTGCCTTTTAACTTTGTACTATTTAAAATGTCTCTAAAAACAGCTACCGCATTTTCCATCTAAGATCTTTTCAGTCAGTAAAACCTAACAGTTACTAAAAAGCTAACAGAAGTATCTTTTCAGCTAGTTGTGACAAACATTCTCTTAGATATAAAAAGTTCAAATACGGAGTATAAAATAAGATAGAAAGATAATAAGTACTCCTTTCATCCCACTAACAATGGGACGAGAGTCAGTGACACACAAATCAATAAAAAGTGGTTTATGACTTTATATAGTTGATATTGAATTGATAAAGTAAGAATTATAAAGTAAGAATAATTTAGAGTCACACAAATTTTACCAAACTTTGTCATCTTTCCTTTTTGGTACGTCCCATAAATTTTTGACACTTTTTCTGTTAATCAATTATTTTGTGGTTTCTGTTATTTCTCTCTCCTCTGCACAAACCTCAACCACACAGTTTTTACTTTATTATTCTCCATGCTGGTCAACTTTGACAAAGTTTTAAGGGACGGAGGTAGTATAACAATCTTAGTGGGACGCAGAAAAGGTAAAATGTGACAAAGTATCATGTTACTCATGCGTATAAAATTAATTGATTTTCAAAGATAAAAACATCAAATCTTAATGGGATAATAACTCGATCCATGTAGAGCAAAAAATCCATTCTAGACTATTAGGTGTAATATATCGACGGACTTGGATCACATCATATGATATACAAACACGAAAACGCAATCCCAAATATTAATTTATAAGACAAGATAGCTTAATCAGCTTAATTAAATGTGCTAGTCAATTATAGTTCAATTATAGTAACCCTTATTTCTTCCAAAAAAATTGTAGGAACCCTTACAAAACAAGCACACCAAAGTGAATGCTGATCTCATCTAATGGATAACAATCTTAAAATATCACTAGTACAAAAAGTGTATATTTTAACATTCATTTTGTAGCACCCTAAAAATTGATACAATATAATATCTATTTTTTTGGTCAAAATACAATATAATATCTATTGTAACCTTATTTTGGCAAGAAATGCTATAACAAAATAATAAAATGCTACAATACATCTATTGTAACATCAATTGGATGCAACATACTAAAAATGCCACATTGGATTTATTGTGACATTTTTAGCACTTATTGCAACATTTTGGATATGTTATTAAAGATATACTTTGTTGTAGGTATGAAAAATCTCAAAAAGTAATACTAGTATATGATTGATTCTCTCAGAGTAATTTACTCTGAAGTTTCACTGCTAAGTAAATTTCAGTATTTCAATCTATAATTAAATAAAACAGTATAACGCCATAATTGATGATATTTTACAAATATAACAATAATTACTCATATTTAAATAATAAAAATGTTATATTTTTATTTTAGAATTCCAAAATGTTTCAACTCTGATCTAATTAGAGAAATTTAGAGAAATTACTTCATAACAAAAGTCAAAAGATGTGACACACATGTTGAGCTAAACTTAACATATACTCTGTTATTTAGTATGGCTGTTTTTATATTACTAGAAGTACAAAATCCCAAGTCATATAAATAGGTAAATACATGTAGAAGTAATAAGTTGTGGCCAAAATAGAAAACAATTGTACTGACAAAAACATTAGCTTATTTAAAGAACTGACACTTCATTTTCAACCCAATAATTAAATGAGTAATTATTGTCATATTTGTAAAATATTACTACCTTTGTCCCATAAAATAGTACCGATTTCAATTTGGATCGGGATTTAACAAAGTGGGAATAAAGTGAAAATATATGGTTGTCGTTGAGTAAGAAAAAGGTAAATGAATGTGATCGCCACACAAAACTTTCCAAAAAAGGAAATGTGAACAATTTTTTGAGACTGCCCAAAAAACAAAAGTGAGAACTATTTCATGGGACAGAAAGAATATCATTTATGAGGTTATACATTTCTATTTAATTTATATCATGAGTAATTATTGTCCTATTTTCAGAGATCAGATCTCAAAAATGTTGACTTATTTGACTTTTTAAGGAGATAAGTACCTATAATATCAGTGGGGGTCTTGCCATTGGTAAAGCGCCCAGTGGGCTTTCCCCCCATAAAGTCCTCCCCATAGGGTTGAAAGTTGCACTTGACGACGGTCGGAATATAGTTGTTCATGCCTTGATCTATTATGGAATCTCCGAAACCTATCAGCGCCGGCACCACCACCTCCTCCGGCAACTTTACTTTGGCTTCGCCGGAAGCAGCAACCCACACGAGGGTTGCCGCTATGGCGGAGACAAACATCGTACGTCGTACACACCACATTGAGTCGCACCGTAAATGGTGATGACCAGACAACATGTTAGATTATAAGTGTAGTTTTTTGTCGGTCAATGGAAGATTTCGTTTTGTGCTGTGCTAAAGATGGCAGTTGGGGCAATATATAAGGAAGGTTTTTGTTAGCTTAGCTAAGATATGAGTCGCTTTCAAAAGTAAATACAGTGTACTAGCAGCTGGAACTTCCATATTTAAGTTGCCAACCCTATTTTAGTTTCTTTTATGATTTTAATTATAGTAACGTAAGATGTATTGTAAGAACGTTTCCCCCCAATTGATAAGTTGCACATGTGGGATGAGAGATAGGTAAACAAATATTAATAAGCAAAATAACTCTCTTCTTATTGAAACATTTTTATATGTTTTGATAAGTTTTTCTCGACAATGTCAAAAATAATATCTAAATGTAGACATTGTTGTTGACATTATTACCAAAATTATTGATAGATTATATTCTAGAGAGAAGTGAGAGCTAGAGAGAGAAGTGCAAGTAAATGTTTCAATAAATGATTTTCCAACCCCTACAACTACCTCTAGAGGAAGTATTTATAGGAAAAATACGGGCTGGGCTCCCAAGCCTTGGGCTTGGGGAGGCCCATTTACAACTGGACCGCTATTGGGCCGAATACAAAGTAAATGATGGAGTATACAGATGAGTAAGTGTAAAATCCGGTTCTGGGAGTTCTTTATGGCCGACGAGGGCCCGACCGACGAGTGCATGGCCGACGAAGACCCGGCCGACGAGGTCACCCGGTTCTTCTGGCTTCCGGATCATGTTCTGGGTTGACTTCGTTCCGGCCGATGAGGGCCATCTGGCCGATGAGGGTCCCACTGGGTGACAGCTGTGCCTTCTGTTTTCCTGAGTATGTGGGTCATGGGGGCTAGACCCATATACTCCATCAGGAGTCCCCCACTCTCTAAGCTGAGATGTAGTCCTCCAGTCCCCCACTCCTTCAAACCGAAGAGTTTCTGATGGATGAAGGAGTAGCTTGAAACCTAGGCCGAAGCGGGATCCTCATACTGCCCTTGAATCCAACCCTTTGGTGATTTCCTGATCAACGTAACCCTGTGGGAGAACCCTTGGACGCAGGTCGCTTTCAAAGGGTTATCATCAAGGGTTTTGTGTGAGGGCTGATGGCCGTTGGGTTCCCTTCCCTTGTGGTGTTGTGGCCGTTGTAAGGCCTTTATAATATGTATGGCCGCTTGAATGGCCGATACGGGTGCTACCTGGGTAGCCGTAGCCTGTGTTGGCCGTTAAATGCCTTGGCCGCTGTGGCTGCTATTTTCCCATTCCTCGCTCCGCAGAACCTGCTTTGCTGGTGAGCTGTTGATCTGTGGAGTGGGCCTGTCCCATTTTACGAAGTGGTGGCATCCCATTGGTGGCCATTGTTGTGGCCAGTAGGGAGGTGCCACGTGTATTGACCGTTGGGGGGGGGGGCTATAAATACCTCTCCCATTCCGAAGAAAATCCTCATATGCGATCTGAGCTACCGAAGTGCTGCCCAAATTTCTAGAGATATAAAGTCCTTGCAAGTGTTCTTCGTGTTCTTCAAAGCTTCAAGGTCAGTTCTTCAAACTTTTCCTCGATTCCTTGCATACTTTGCTTCCTTTAGGCTTTGATTCAGTGTTAGCCACAGAAACACCTTAGATCTGAAGTAGTCTGCCCTAGCGCCTCTAGAGTTTGTTAAGATGAAAACCCTGGACGAGGAGTATTATCCCTACGATGACGAGCCCTCCACCGAATCTCTTGACTTCCAAGTTGTCGAAGAGTTTTGCGAGGAGATTGAACACTTGAGCCCCTTCAAATCCGGGGAGCAGGTGGACGAAGATGGCGAGGATGAGGAATCCGCCTCGTCGGCTGGGGATGAGGACGCGGGGGTCTCCCGAGCTGCGGACGTGGCATCTACTTCGGCTACTATTCCATGCCCAGAGCCAGTATCCGCTGTTAAGGGGGCAGCGCCGCCGAAGAGAGTCAGGCGGCCGAAGAAAGGACCAGGCTTCTCCTACCTGGATCTCACCAACATCCACATCATTAGGCCGCAGAGCAACGCGGGTGAGTACTTGGTCGCCCAGATGTACGTGGGGCCATTCGGTAGGGTAAGGGCTCCCAGGCCGACGGACCATGTTCTTAATCCCCCACCGGGATATTTTGGAGTGTACCCGATGAGCTTCGCCAAAGGACTGCGGTTCCCGCTTCATCCCTTCGTTAGTGAGTATTTAGACATGGTGGGACTTCCTCCAGCCCTACTGACCCCTAACAGCTACTCGCTGATAGTCGGGTTTCTTCTTCGTTGCGCCGAGCTGAACTACAAGCCGATGACGGCCCTCTTCACGAATCTGTATCAGATAGGTCGAGGGAGTCACAAGAATTGCGTCAGCTATGCCACTCTCCAACAGTTGCCAAAGAAGAGGAGCTTCATCGATCTTCCTTCGTCCATCCACGGTTGGAAGAGCAAATTCGTCTTTGTGTCACTGGGTGAAGGAGGCACCGAGTTTCCTTCTGTCGGCCATGATGGGAGGTTCAATCTTCATGATACGCCGAAGAGTTCGATCTTGGACGCTCAGGTGGCAGCGTTCTTGGAAGGAGGGCCGAGGAGCGTGAAGGACTATATCACTGAGTACAAGATGACCGTCCTCGGCTTCTTTAGGTACTTTGTATACGGCGATATTGAAGAGGACGTCGAATTGTGGCCGAAGATGACCACTACGTTTTAGGTACCCGACGACCCAGACTTGGGTGTGCCCGCTGAAGCCGACGGTAATTCCTTTCATCGTCCTCGACTTTGTTATGCTTCTTGTCTCATGTTTGTTTCCTTTGTTGTGCAGGTTTTATGATGGATCGTCGTTCAGTGATGAACAGGGCTGCCGCAAAGGCGAAGGCGGAGTTGGGCGCCAAGGAGGCCGCAAAACAGGCGGCGGCGAGTGGGGCACAGCTGAGCACTGATGTGCCGAAGAAGCCACCCACCCAGCCGAAGAAGAAACGGCCGGTGGATGACGGTCAGAAGAAGTTGACCGAGGCCGGAATGCAGCCCTCCAAGAAGTCGAAGAAGGATGCCACTGATTCTGTGGCTGGAGTTTTGACCGTTCCAGCTGGGGACGAAGGAGATTCCAGTGCTGCTGCTGTAGTGGACCTCACCTCTGGGCCGTCGTTTTGACGTTGATCAGCCCATCTCCCTCGTCCAAGGAACCCGGCCGAAGCAGGCGGGCAAAGACGTGGCCACCGCCACGTACAAAAAGGAGGTGGAGTACCCTGTGGACGGCGGTGTCTTCAATGAAGCTGTTGACGGCCACGATGTGCTTTCTCAGGCCATCCCGGCCAAGGACCGGGTTTATCTTGACAAGCTTGGCGACGTCAAGATCTACGACGGTGGGATGGACCTCGTCGTCCAAGTGAGTTCTCTCCCTTTTACTTTGTCGTTTTCTCACTGTTTTCATGAATGTGTTGTCTGACCGTTTCATTATGCAGGGTGCCTTACTGCTGATGGAGAACCAGCGAAGGCAGCAGCGGGAGATTACCCGCCTGAGGGAGATTGAGCAGAAGGCTGCCTCGGCCGAAGAGGCCATGGCTTGCCTAGATCGGCTGAGGGCCAATGTGGCAGACCTGCAGAAGAAGGCCGATGAGGCCGACGCGGCCTACCGTGAAGTAGCTGCTTCCAGGGATGATGCCTTGGCCAAGCTTGCCGAAGAGAGGGCGGTACTGGAAGCTGAGCGCCGTCGTGTTGATGAGGCCGAGAAGGCTAAAGCTGATGCCGAGGTTGCAACGGATATCGAAGGCCACCGATGCTGCCATCAAGAAGTTTCTTGAGGAAGGCTGGAAGGCCGATGAGAATCTGCCTTGGTGCTACGACGTGGTGGCGGCCAAGCTCGAGGACTGGGATGAGAACTCCCCTGCCGGCCAGGAATACTTCGAGAAGGAGATGTCCATATACTACAACATGGGCCAGCGGCGGATGCAATGACTCATCTACCGGAGGCTGCGTCGTGCCTTCAAAAAGATGAAGGTCACCCGGAAGTGGGCTAGGAAGAATTTGAAGCTCCCCAAGAATATGAAGGACCCGGAGGCCGAGGCTAAGCTCCCCCCTTCTGAAAGGCATGCCGCTATAGACAGCTCTGGCATTGGTGAGTCAGATTGGTCTGACAACGACGCCCTGGCCAACACCGCCATTTCCGTAGGTGCTGAAGCCAGCGTGGACACAGAGGCCGATGAGGGCGCTGTTGTCGAGGTTCAACAGGCTGGAGTGTGGCATGTTACTGATGAGGCTGCTCAGGAGAGTTGACCGGCAATCCCCTTTTCCCCTTCCCTTTTTTGTATCTGGTAGTATATGTAGGTGTTGTAGTGCCCTCATTTTGTAATGGCCATTGTGCCCCCCTGTACTTTCTGTGGAGAATGAATATATATTGTCTCCTTCGTCTCTGTTAAGTATTGTGCCCTCTTCGTCTTGGATTCCCTCTTGCTTATGTTATATCCTTTTCTGAGATTTTTCTAAGTGTCAAGCTAAGACTTAGATAGTTGTTTTCCTTTTGTTGTGGCCGAGGCGGGTAACCTACAAGGGTTTGAGTGCCCGCATCGTCTTGGCATTATCCCTTTTCCTTTGTTCTACCTTAGAATTTCTTCTAAGTGTCCAACTGTTGTAGCCTTTTTAGTTCAGTGACCTTATCGGCCTGGTTTGCACGTCTTGGTGTTTTCCCGGCCGATGTGGGTGCTGCTGAGTTGTGTCATCCTTCCCGCGGGCCTCGTCGGCTGAAACCAATCGGGGAAGGTAACGTGTTTGGCAGTGTTGTCGGCCTGCATGTTTTCCCTTTATCGTTTCACACTTGAAATTTTTTCTAAGTGTCGAAATTTAGTAGCTGATTTCGCTTGGGACTAACGACCATGTATGTAGTGTGGCCGATGACAGTAACATTCGTCTTCATTTCTCAACATTTTGGGAAATGTGCTAAGTGTTGAATTTCAACTTCTCGTGGCCGAAGAGGACGACCAACCTTGTCTCACCCAACCAAGGCAGTCGGGATTTTGTAGATGCACGCCTCGGTCATGACACCTACTCGTAGTGTAGCCTTCGTATCGGACTGATATGTACTTAGTATTGTT